AGAGTCACTAGATCCTGAACTTGAGGTCCTAATTTTTCAAATTAATCCTCTATACTTCCACTTTCCAGTCCCAGATTACAATATAGGCTTTAATTTCCTTTTCAGTCTCTCGAAGGGCAAAGTTCTTTGTTATCTGGCCTTCAACAGACACATTTTTTGGCTTCGGATTGAAACAGCACTAACTTCCGGACTACCTCTCATCACCCACTTGAATTTCCCTCTGGCTGCTCCCAGGATGTCCTGTTTCTCCCTATCTCCTCCTCCCTGCTTGGGATAAAGGTCCTGCACCCACACTTTTCCTAGTCCCTGTCCCCAGGGTTACAACATCCTGAATAGTTGGCAGTCTCTCTCTCCAGGCTCTCCCTGGCTCCCTTATTTTGCAGCCGCCATCATATTTTCTGTATCCAGCTCTCAAAAGCTTCTTCCTGCCCCTGACATTTATCATTTTCTGTTTCGTCTCTCTCTCTTTTTTTTCCCCAAAACAATCTTTAATTTGGGGTTTGTTTTTTACAAATCTACCCTTGGGTATCACCCATCTACCATGTTGGGCTACATTTCCTTAATTCATCAGTGTAATCTTTCCCCCCATTCAGAATACAATGGATTAGCAGTCTATCACCTTAACCATTCAGTCACCTTGTCTCCTTTTCCCCCCATTCAAAATTTGGCAAGACACATCTTAAAAGCACTGTCACCATCACTAATTGCTATTAAGCATTTACAGCTACTTAAGATTCTTACATTACCTTTTAAATGTTCCCGCCTTTGGACTTCTCAATTTCATAAACATTTGGAGGAAGGAAGGTATTTCTCTATTGATGTCTTTGAATATTTATGGCTGGAATTGGAATCCTCAATCTAATGGTAAAATGGGAAATTCTTATCATATGAAAATATAATGTGAAGCTTCCTCAAATAAATAAACCTTATTTAAAGTGTCATTCTAAGGATTACCTGCAGCAGTCATTTTTATTGATTCCTCAATAAAAAGAAAGTAGCTCAGTTTCAAATGAATTGAAATTCCATACTTCCTAGGCAGACTTAGATAACCTCACGTTCTCCTGAAAAAAAAAATGGACTCTCATCTTCTACCCAAACAGCATTTGATCCACTTTCTGCAGTTCTCTAACCCAGAAAGTAACTGACCTCCTCGAGACCTGCTGCTAATAGAGGTAGCTATGGCACACTACCTGACCCAGGACCTCAAATATTTTTATTTTCAAAGACACTGTGATAACATACTCCCTGCAACAACTATGTAATACCCTAATCAATATATCCATAAAGACAGAACTTGTATGGAGTTTTACTTTCTGCCCAAAAGACTGCCTCCATGACAACTCCCTCAGAATTTAATACATCTATCCAAATCCCCATCTTTCTATAGAATAGAATTGAATCGAGGTTATATGGAAGAAGAGATGGTCAAATAAATACCTTCCAGTATAGCACATCTTAAAGTGATAATAAATTATAGATAATTTATAGATAAGTAAAAGATAAATGAATAGTTAAATAGATAAATAGCTAGAAAGAAGCAGAATATATCCTTTATTTTAACTTTTTGAGTCAAAGTCTCACTCTGTCAACTGGGTAGAGTGCAGGAGAACAATCTTGGCTCACCGCAGTCTCAACCTCCTGGGCTGAGGAAGTCCTTCTTCTCGGTCTTTTGAATAGCTGGGAGTACAGGCGTGCACCAGCACACCAGCAATTTTTTTTTCTTTAGAGACAAGATCTTACCATGTTGCCCAGGCTGGTCTCGAACCCCTGGGCTCAAGTGATCCTCCTGCCTCAGTTTCCCAAAATGCTGAGATTACAGGCGTGAGTCACCACACCTGGCCAGAATATATCCTTCTAAATGCATGGTTGATGGTTGAGATGGTGGGGATAAGAACCAGTAAGGCAGTAAAGCTGTGACAACATTAATCCAGAAGGAAAAGGAAGCCATGAAACTGGCATTTGCCTTTGGATAGCAAGCTACTGGTTCCCAGTAACCCTAGACAGTAGTTTTAATGGGTGACCCAAGTGCAAGGGACAAATGGAGACAAATCCTGGGACCCAAGCAAGGTTGGAAATTGGATCAGACACATACTATTTCCTTCCTTCTCTGGTTAAAGTCAGACTCCCAAAGGGTAATGGATGAACAGGGGAAAAAAATACCTCCCAGAGGCAGATGGTAGAGATAGGTACCTTTTTTGGTTCTGGCTTTGTTTAGTATGGGGAAAATATTCCCTTGAGACTTCATAACCCCAAACCTATACTCAGGCAGGTCTAGGTTAAGGATTCACATTATCTGTATCACCAAGACATTTCACACCAGAAATTAGGCTTAAAATAGTTCTGTATTGACCGGGCATGGTGACTCAAGCCTGCAATCCCAGCAGTTTGGGAGGCCGAGGTGAGAGAATTGCCTGGGCCCAGGGGTTCAAGACCAGCCCAGGCAACTTGGTGAGACCTCATCTCTACAATAAATCAAAATATCAGCGGGGTGTGGTAGTGCGCACCTTGTAGTTCTGGCTACTTGGAAGACTGAGGCAGAAGGATCGCCCGAGCTCAGCAGGTCAACACTGGGGTGGCCATGAGCATGCCACTGCACTCTAGCCTGGGCTACGGAGCGAGATTCCAACTAAAAAATAAAAATAAAAAAAAAATAGTTCTGTATTGATAGTATTCCCAGGTGACTAGCAGGATTAAGTGCACTTTAAACCTAGATGTACTTTAAACCTAAATGTACTTTAAACCTAAATGTACTTTAAACCTAAATGTACTTTAAACCTAGATCTCAGCCGGGCTCGGTGGCTCAGCCTGCAACCCTGTGCCTTTGGGAGGCTGAAGTGAGTGGATTGCCTGAGCCCGCGGGTTCGAGATCCACCTGGGCAGCAAGACCTCATCTCTACAATAAAATAAAATTTAAAAAATCAGCAGGGCATGGTAGCGCACGCCTGTAATTCTAGCTACTCGGAAGGCTGAGGTGGAAGGATCGCCGGAGCCCAGCAGGTCGAGGCTGCGGTGGCCGAAAGCGGCCACTGCTCTCCAATCTGGGCGACAGAGTGAGAGATTCTGACTCAAAATAAAAACAAAAACAAAAAAACCTAGATCTCAAAGAATTTCTAAAGTTAAGGCATATGGACGACATAATATGAAGGACTAATATGCATCTAATGGGAGTTCTAGAAGGAAATACTAGGGAGAATAAGAGAAAGGTAATATCTAATAGTTAATAGCAAAGAATTCTCCAAAATTAGTGAAATATACAAGTCCTCAGATTCAGGCCACATTTAGTTAGTATCCTCATTCTGTCTACTAAATTTGTTTGGCTAATTCCAGTCTTCATTAGCCCACATACTGGATCAGCCACAGTCAAGGCAACAAGTCATGATGTCATTTTCAAAAAGCAAGGAACAACAAGTGCAGTTAATTGAATAAGCCTCATGGGTTGTTTTAGAATACTAGAACTGAGATTATTAGTCTTTTCCTTCAGAGTCCAGATTGTTATCTAGTAGATGACCTCTGTTAATTCTAACTTTAAGCTCAGCCATTCTTCAACCTCCAAAAGAAAAAATAGAGAGAAAAGTATGCACTTGGTTCAGTATACCAGGAAAAGTACACATTTAAGGGTCAGGCTCACCAAAACTTAAATTCTGACCTTGATACTGTGCTTCAGATCCCTGCCTGTAAAATGAGAATAAAAACATAGTGGGGGAAGGTTTGAGAATTGAGAATGATGTTGAAAGACCTTTAAAATGAAATCTGCAAAACACGGCTCAAGGAAATCAAAGAAGACACAAACAAATGGAAAAATATTCCATGCTCATAAACTAAAATTATGTCTACTATTTCCCAACTGCAAGATTTATATGGGTCAACCAGATCCAAGGGAATAGATATTTCTAACCACAACAGCCAGTCAGTGTGACTCAGGTGGACAGGATGACAGAAGCACGAAAAAAGATCCAGCATTGAAAGCTAGGTTTGGAGTCCAGGGAAAACAGGAACACTGTGGGCACGGCTGGCTGATATCCAGAAGTGAAGCCTTCAAATATGAGAAAGATGGGCAAAAATCCATAAATGAAAAGTTAAGGGTTTAATTTTTCAGGGACTGGCCAATGACCAATGAGAACCCCATCCCCAGATGACTGGGTCATGTGTCGGGTTCTAGGTACAGGGTACTGGAGTCAGAGCTCAAATCAAGAGCTTGGATGACTGGGATGAAAAGCTCAGTCAAGAAGGATTGGGCCTTGAATCTGTAGCTTGCTTTGGGTAGGATGGATATCTTAACAATGTTGATTCTTCCAATCCATGAGCATGGAATATTTTTTCCATTTGTTTGTGTCACCTTTGAGTTCTTTGAGCAGTGTTTTGTAGTTTTCATTGTAAAGGTCTTTCAACATCATTCTTCTCAGACCTGGAAACGACAATACAGAAGTTCATATAGAAACATAAAAGACCACCAATAGCCAAAACAATCCTCAGCAAAATAAACAAAGGAGGAGGTAGCATACTCCTAGACTTTAACCTTTATTATAAAGCTCCAATAATCAAAACAGCCTGGTACTGGTACAAGAACAGGCAAATAGACCAATGGAATAGGAGAGAGATTCCGGAAGCAAAACCTCCGTTTCTCAACCAACTAATCTTCAACAAAACCTTCACCAACAACCACTGGAGAGAGGAGAACGTATTCAGTAAATGGTGCTGGGAAAACTGGCTGATCACACACCGAAGAATGAAACAGGACTCCTACCTATCACCATACACAAAAATCAACTCTAAATGGATCAAAGATCTAAACGTAAAACCTCAAACTGTAAGAATTTTAGAAGGCACAGGAGACACACCCTTACGAAAATTGGAATAGGCTGCGCGGGCGGCGACGGCGGCGACAGAGCAGCGGCTAGGCCCGGCCCGGTGAGTCGGTTCGTGCCGGTGGATGCGAATGTGCCTAGGCGCACCCGGCGGAGGAGTCCGCGGGCTGGCGCCGGCTGGAGGCCGCGCGAAGCATGAGGCCGCTGCCGGGTGCTTCTGGCGTGGCGGCGGCTGCCGGGCTGCTGCTGCTGCTCTGGGCCGGGCGGAGGAGCAGAACACATGTATCAAGAGAAAGTTGTCTTATGGGTGAATACTGTTGTGCCCTACCATAATCGCCAAGAAACGTGTAAATACTTTTCACTTCCATTCTGTGTGGGGTCAAAAAAAGTATCAGTCATTACCACGAAACTCTGGGAGAAGCACGTCAAGGAGTTGAATTGGAATTTAGTGGTCTGGATATTAAATTTAAAGATTATGTTATGCCAGCCACTTACTGTGAAATTGACTTAAAGAAAAGAGAGATGCGTTTGTATATGCCATCAAAAATCACTACTAGTACCAAATATACATAGATGACTTACTAATATGGAGTATTGTTGATGAGGCTGATGAAAATGGAGAAGATTACTATCTTTGGACCTACAAAAAACTTGAAATAGGTTTTAATGGAAATCGAATTGTTGATGTTAATCTAACTAGTGAAGGAAAGGTGAAACTGGTTCTGAATACTAAAATCCAGATGTCCTATTCAGTAAAATGGAAAAAGTCAGATGTAAAATTTGAAGATCGATTTGACAAATATCTTGATCTATCCTTTTTCCAACATAGGATTCATTGGTTTTCAATTTTCAACTCCTTCATGATGGTGGTCTTCTTGACGAGCTTAGTTTCAATAATTTTAATGAGAACCTTAAGAAAAGATTATGCCTGGTACAGTAAAGAAGAAATGGATGGCATGGACAGAGACCTAGGAGATGAGTATAGGTGGAAGCAGGTGCATGGAGATGTGTTCAGACCATCAAGTCACCCTCTAATATTCTCCTCCCTCATTGGCTCTGGCTGCCAGATATTTGCGGTGTCTCTCATTGCCATTATTGTTGCAATGATAGAAGATCTGTATACAGAGAGGGGATCGATGCTCAGTATGGCCATATATGTCTATGCTGCTATGTCTCCAGTGAATGGTTATTTTGGAAGAAGTCTGTATGCTAGACAAGGAGGAAGAAGATGGATGAAACAGATGTTTATTGGGACATTCCTCATCCCAGCTATGGTGTGTGGCACTGCCTTCTTCATCAATTTCATAGCCATTTACTACCATGCTTCAAGGGCCATTCCTTTCGGAACAATGGTAGCTGTTTGTTGCATCTGTTTTTTTGTTATTCTTCCTCCAAATCTTGTTGGTACAATACTTGGCCGAAATCCATCAGGTCAGTCCAACTTTCCTTGTCATGTCCATACTGTGCCTCATCCTATACCAGAGAAAAAATGGTTCATGGAGATTGCAGTTATTGTTTGCCTGGGAGGAATTTTACCTTTTGGCTCAATCTTTATTGAAATGTATTTCATCTTCACGTCGTTCTGGGCCTATAAGATCTACTATGTCTATGGCTTTATGATGCTGGTGTTGGTCATCCTGTGCATCGTCACTGTCTGTGTGACCACTGTGTGCACGTATTTTCTGCTAAATGCAGAGGATTACAGGTGGCAATGGATGAGTTTTCTTTCTGCTGCATCAACTGCAAGCTATGTTTACATGTGTTCCTTTTACTACTGTTTTTTCAAAACAAAGATATATGGCTTATTTCAAACTTACTTTGGATATATGGCAGTAGCATAGCCTTGGGGATAATGTGTGGAGTGATTGGTTACATGGGAACAAGTGACTTTGTCCAAAAAATCTATACTAATGTGAAAATTGACTAGAGACCCAAGAAAACCTGGAACTTCAGATCAATTTCTTTTTTCATAGGGGTGAAACTTGGACAGAAAAAAAAAGTACAAGAAAAGATTTGGGCTTTAACACTGGGTACTTTGTGGGTCTCTCTCCCGTGGTTGGCTTAAAGTAACATCTACTTCCATTGATTCTAGGTTCTTACTGACTGCTTTCTCCAACTGTTCACAGCAAATGCTTGGATTTTATGCATTACTACAGTACATGGCTAATCTTCCCCAAAACTAGCTCATTAAAGATGAAATAGACCAGCTCTCTTCAGTGAAGAGGACAAATAGTTTATTTAAAGCATTTGTTCCAATAAAATAAATAGAGGGAAACTTGGATGCTAAAATTACACGATAGGAATCTTCCTCGCATTTAGTGTTTCTACGTTACTGAAAAACGATGTTCCAAAAAGATGACTTTTTTCTCTTATTTTTACTGCCATTGTCAACTTATTGTGGGACATTTTTACATATTGAATCTGGGGTTTTTTGACTATTTTTTTTTTCAATTCAATTGCATCCTTTTTTAAAAAAAAGAGAGAATTAGAAAATATTAAATCCTGCATGTAATATATCTGCTGTCATCTTAGTTGGACCAACTTCCCATTTATTTATCTGAAAAGTATCCAGTTACATCTTAATTCCATCCAAAGAAGATACAGTTTGAAGATAGAAGTGTACTATCTACAATGCAATTTACTGTACAGTTATAAAGCAAAGTGTTAAATGGAGAAGATACTTGTTTTTATTAAACATGTTGAGATTTAGATAAACTACTTTTTAACTGAATACCTAAAGTGATTATCTTTTTCCCCCTAAGTTAGTCTTACATCCTTTTTGGGTTTGAATGAAGGCTTTCCATAAGAAATTATTAAAAACAAGGGGGGTGGACGATAAATGTATATAACATTAAATAATGTAATGTAGGTGTAGATTCCAGATACATTTGAATGTACAAATTGACTATGGAGTACTTCTTGCTGATGATGATTGGTGTAGAAATGTGTGACTTTGGGTGGCTTTTGACATCTTGCTAGCCATTGCATGAAACATGAGCGTTTCCTCAAAATGTGTGTGTCATAATTTTTTTGGCAGGGGTGTTGTTTTCTTCTGTTTATTTTCTGAGACTCCTACAGGAGCTGAATTTGTAAATTAGAAACATTTAATTTTGCTAATCCTGTCTGGGACACTTAAGTAACATCTAAAGCATTATTGTTTTAGAGTGTTCAAATAAAATTTCCTGATCAAAAAAAAAAGAAAAAAGAAAATTGGGATAGACAATCAACTCCCGATCAAAATCCAATATACCCATGCCATAAGAGATAAGACAGATAAGTGGAACCTCATCAAACTGAAAAGCTTCTGCAAAGCAAAAGAAACCATGAAGAAAGCAGGGAGACAGTCCACAGAATGGGAAAAATTATTTGCCAACTGTATATCTGACAGAGGCCTAACATCCAGGATCTACAAGGAACTCAAAAGTGCTGAAAGGGAAAAAACCAAACAGCCCTATTTGGGCAGGCGAGACCTCATCCCTACAATAAATCAAAAAATTAGCTAGGCGTGATAGCGTGTGCCTGCAATTCCGGCTACTCGGAAGGCTGAGGCAGAAGGATTGCCGGAGCCCAGCAAGTTGAGGCTGCGGTGGCCGGGAGCGGCCACTGCACTCCAGTCTGGGCGACAGAGTGAGACTCCAACTCAAAAACAAACAAACAAACAAAAACAACAACAACAAAAAAAGTGGGCAAAAGATATGAATAGACACTTCTCAGAAGAAGACATACAAGCAGCCAACAGATACATGAAAAAGTTCTCAGCCTCACTAATCATCAAAGAAATGCAAATTAAAACCACACCGAGATACCACCTAACTCCAGTCAAGATGGCCATCATCAATAGTTCAAAAAACAACAGATGCTGGAGAGGATATGGGGGAAAGGGAACACTTCTACACTTGATGGGAGTGTCAACTAGCACAAACTCTGTGGAAAACAGTGTGGCAATTCCTAAAAGATCTAAAAATAGACCTTCCATACGACACAGCAATCCCCCTTCTGGGAATATACCTGGAGGAACTCAAATCATTATATTAAAAAAGATACCTGCACATGCATGTTTATTGCAGCACTGTTCACAACAGTAAAAACATGAAACCAACCGTGCTACCCACTGAAAGTGAACTGGATAAACAAAATGTGGTACATACAAATGATGGAATATTATACAGCCATTATGAACTTCACAGCAACTTGGGTGGATTTAGCGTATAATACTGAGTGATTTATCACAGAAACAAAGAACTGAATACCACATGTTCTCACTCATAAGCAGACCCTGAACATTTATCAAAACACTGTAAGAAAGGGATTGGCAGTAGCCAGAAACTGTCCGTGGAGGAAGATGGGGAGAATATAACATCAATAAGGGTACCTGATCTCAAATCAGGTGAAGTGGGGACCAAAGGGAGACCCAAACTTTACCTGTACAATGGCCACTTGTATACTTAATCCTGAATTGTACCCCACATCTGTAAAACAAAGAAACAAAAAATTTTATGTTAAAAAAAAGAAGGACTGGGCCATACCACTGTTAGCTCAATATGTAGTACAATACAATGTCCTCAATCTGTTGTCAATTCTGTTGAAGAAGAGATGAATGATCATGCAACCACAGTGAAAGCAGATAATAACACTGGAAGATCAGTAGTAAGGTCAACATTGAGGAATACTATTATTCAACTTTGCAAGAGAAGGAAATCCTGTCATTTATGATAACACAAATGAACCTGGAGGACATTATGCTAAGTGAAATACGCCAGGCACAGAAAGAAAACTCCTGCATGATCTCACTTATATGTGTAATTTTAAAATGTCATACTAATAGAGGCAGAAAGTAGGATGGTGGTTACCAGGGTCTGGAGGGAGTAGGGGGCAGCCAAGAAATAGGGGAGATGTTGGTCAAAGGGCACAAAGTTCCAGTTAGACAGAAGGAATAAGTTTTGAAGAACTATTGCACAGCATAGTGACTATAGTTAATAATAATGTGCTATATACTTGAAAATTGCTAAGAGAGGAAATCTCAAATGTTCTCGCCACAAAAACATGATAAGTATGTGTGGTGATGAATATATTATTAGCTTGTGAATCATTTCACAGTGTATATGTATGTTAAAAATATCATGTTGTACACCATAAACATATACAATTCTTATTTGTCACTTGTAAAAGAAAAAGGAAAAAGTTCAGTTGAGGTGGCTCACACCTATAATCCCAGCAGTTTGGGAGGCCAAGTGGGAGGATTGCTTGAGGTCAGGAGTTTGAGATCAGTCTGCACAGTATAGCAAGACCTACATAGCTAGGGAATTTTTTTTTAAGTTAGCTTGGCATGGTGGCATACACCTATAGTCCTAGCTACTTGGGAGGTTGGGGCAGGAAGATTGCTTGAGGCCAGGAGTTCAAGATCAGCTTGGGCAATATAACGAGACCCCATCTCTACAAAAAAATTTAAAAATTAGCCAGGCATAGTGGTGTGCGCCTGTAGTCCCAGCTGCTTGGGAGGCTGAGATGAAAGGATCATCTGAGCCAAGAAGGTCAAGGCTGCAATGAACCGTGATCATGACACTGCACTCCAGCCTGGGTGACAGAATGAGATCCTATCTTTAAAAAAGAAAAAAAGCTAAAAAACAGTTTGAAATTAAAAAAAGATGAACATTGGAACTAACCCAAGTTCTAAAGGCAAGCAAGTTCCTCCAAATAGGAAAAGACCACAGAAGCAGAGATCACACAATCCCTAATATCACATGGGTAGCAGAATTGCTGCAGCTCTGGAGAATATTTTGCAAATACAGGTGAATTTTGGGTGCAGTGTGTGTGTGAGTGTATGTGAAACTAAACACTTCTTTCATACTTTAAATGCACATTGTATTATTTTTCTGAATTTTACGTTTCTCTTAAGAGAAAAACACCTTAATGTTCACTCCAATGTTATATTTATTTCCAAGTGCACTCAAGGACTTCTCCAGAAAGCAAACAGCCCCTATTGATGTATTACACTTGTTTTACCATGACCTACCTAGATCAGTAATTCTTAACCATGGGAGGGAGGATAGGGATATTTATCCCTGTAGGGGTAAATTTCACAAGGCTGGAATCAAGGTATCAACTAGGCTGCATTCTAGGGGTCCTTTTCCACACTCCTTCTGGCTGTTGGCAAAATTTAACTCCCCGCAGGCATAGAACTGAGGCCCCCATTTCCTTGTTGGCGATCAGCCCCAAGGTGACTCTCAGCTCCTACAGGCAGCCCACATTCCACACAGCATGGCTCTCATATGCAGTTCACAGCATAAGAGATGTTTGCTTTCTTCCAGGCCAGCCAGAGCTCATTTATCTGACTTCCTCCTCCCCACCAGCCAGAGGAATCTTTGCTTTTAGAGAGCTCGTATGATTAGGCCAGATTCACCTGTATAATCTCCCTAATCTTAAATCAACTGATTTGGGACTTGAATTACATCTGCAGAATCCCTTCACAACATCATACAGATTAGTATTGGATTGAATAACTGGGAGAAAGTGTGTGTATATGAGAGGCTGCAAATCTTAGAGGCTATCTTAGAATTTTGCCTACCACAACCCCCAATACTGAGATATACCCATTTAGATAAAGCACACCATAAAAAATGGAAAAAGAAATAACCAATTGCTTTCATTTTCATTTGTTGTGATATTATTATTTTAGTTACTTTTCTGATTAACATGACTCATTTGTTACAAGCAAGTAAAACTAGAGCAAACTCTGGGGAGATAATGAACAAATAAAATAATAAAAGTGTGACCTTAGGCATGTCACAACTCTCAACATCTCAGTTTTCACACTTATAAAGATGATAATATAATCTTTCCTATCCTGAAGTGCTTAAGAATTCAGGCTCTGGAATAAGACTGAGTTGGGCCCAAATCCTGACCACTAAACACTAGCTGTGAAACTTT